TCCCAGGTTCGGTTCCCGCTAAGGGCATGTACCTCAGTTGCAGTTTGTCCCCGGCCCTGGTTGGGTCGTGCAGGTGGTGGCCACTCGATGTGTCCCTTTCATGTCGATGTTTCTCTCTCTCTCTCCCTCCCACTCTATCTGAACAAAATATGGAAACATTGTCCTTGGGTGAGGATTAAAAAAAAAAAGTGAATAGGACTTCTGGTTATGGCAGATAAACTCGTATAAGACTATTTCTACCACTGAGATCAAGCAGGAAAGGTGAATAACATGTGGAAAGCATCTGCTGAAGGCATCAGGTGGCTATCAAAGAGCGAGGACTTGAAAACTCAGAACTCCAGAGAAAGGAAATCATGAAGAGAACCCAACACCACCTTCCCAACAAGACATCTGACAATTCCTAAGCCAGGTTTAGAGACGGAGGAGCTGCACAGAACGTCACGCAGTCTCATGGCATTGAAGAAAATACAGGAGTGTAGGGTCCATAGTAAGTACCCAGGCATTAAGTGGAGATTCCTGAAGGACAAGACTCTGAGAGTAAAGGCTAATCAGAAATAGACCAGTCTTTACAAGCACTGTTGCTTAACTTAGAATGGGCTTAGCTAGCACTGCACAGTATAAATTTGTCCCATCCACTAACAGCACCACCAAACAAAAAATAGTAAACCCTCTCTGGAGGAAGAACACATCATCTACAACCTCTCGGTATCAATTTAGTATTTTGTAGACAATGCCTAGCATTTGATGAAAAATTACCTAGCAATCAGGGAGCCATGAGCCATGAATAAAAACCTACAGGAGAAAAACAAAAAACAGATGACAGAAACAGACCCATAAGAAATCTAGGTATTAGAGTTATCAGCCACAAACTTGTACAGAACTATTATTAATATATTTAAGGAAATAGATGACACGGTGTTTAATTTCATGAGGTAATTAAATTTATGTAAAAGAAACAAATGGATAGCCTGAAATTGAAAAGTGCATCAAAGTGAAGAGTTGATCATTTGAGAGGACATTTTAAAAAATATGGTATGTTTCTTTTTGGCTTTGGTTTCATCCTAAGTAAATTATATTTTTGAAGTTAACTAAAATAAACAGCTGTGTAACAAAAAAGGTCTGTAACTTAAAACACAATTCTACTATTTGGTTGAATAACACAGAGCTACGACCTCGGGAGAAATAGCTGTGTCTCCACGGTCTCTCTCACCAGTATGGTTAGGAGAACACTGGACTTTGGTGCAGGAACTTGACTGTCTGAGCAAATCTGCAATCAATCATTTTAGGCGTTAGTGCTTTCCTATCTCAGTCCCATTGCAAGCAGGATTATTATGAGAGGTATAAATATATTTTCTAGTTCATTGATCATTACCTAGTTTGCACTGTAAAACCTAAGTTGTTTGAGAAATGACATGACAGAATTGGAGGTCATTAGAGTGTTTACTACGGATATATTCAGAGTTGTTAAGGGAAACATAATGAGCTACTAGAATAAATCATCTGAGGGTAATAAAATAAAATTTGTTTCAATAAATGTATTTAATGCATTACTAGTTTGACTCTACAATTTAACCAAGTTCTTTATTGATAGTTTCTGCATAAATCATTTTTTTTCTTCTAAAATAAAATAAAATAAAATAATAAAATAAAATAAAACATAGCTGGCATTACCAGCTAGAAGCAACTTATTTCAGAAAGAATTACACTTACTTTCTATCTATAATTTTGCTTCTATAAGTTTAACTTAGACAGAAACACAAAATTATACTCCTTATATTTGTATATTCTCATTATGTTGTTAGCTCTGTAACTTAAATAGGAATGCTTCTGATTTTGTGGGATAAAAATTGTGTAATATATTGGAATCAGATAAAAAAATTATTAAATACTAAACATCAACAAATATTTATTGAAAAACAAATGAGAGACACATTTGTAAATTGTCACACATAATCTCCTTGGGGGAAAAAATGTTGAGGTCTTGTGGAGTCACCAAAGTAAGGTTTTTAGTCCTGGATTTACCCCCACTTAGCTCTGCAAACTCCAGCATGTCATTTAACCTTTCTGACCTAGTCTGCTTAGTTATAAAATAAAGCTAATTGCGCATGATCTAATTCCATTTTTAAGCCAGGCACATTTATTAATCATCTTCTATGTGCCAACATCTTTGTGAAAGCTAAAAACAATAAGAATATAAGATATTGTTGAAGAATTGAAAACTATCATGTATGTGAAAGCATTCTATCAAGGACAGTACATTATGTAAATATTTTTTAAAAAATATTTTTCTATGGATTTTTTTATTTTGAGAGAGCGAGAAGAAGGGAAAGGGAGAGATAGAAACATCGATGATGAGAGAGAGGAACATCGATTGCTGCCTCCTGCAAGCCCTCCACAGGGGATTGAGCCTGAAACCTGGGCATGCGCCCTGACCGGGAATCAAACCAGTGACCTCTTGGTCCCTGGACAATGCTCAATCACTGAGCCATGCTGGCTGGGCTGCAGACAATGACTTTATGCTGTCATGATTATAAATATTTTTTTCCTAGAAGTCCCAGGAGCATATATCTCTCATCCCAAATGCACAGGTACTTTCATTGTGGCAAATTTTACAAATAGAACTTTGCCTCTGCAAAATAAAATTTATAACAATTATCAGAAAAAAAGGTAGAACAGGAAATAAAAAACTGCTTTCTAATAAGGAGACAGGACAGTAAGGCAAATCACAATCTAATGACTTCTTTAGAAATGAGTGTTCAGAAGGACTGATGTTCAACAGGAAAACAATCAGAGAATATCAAGAAAGTGTTAAAAAAATAAGCTGATGAACAAAATAGATCCAGAGACATGGAAGAAGGAAAGAGACTAACAAACCTCAGAGGAAAATGGGGTAGGGGGAGAGAGATAAACCAAAGAACTTATATGCATGTGTGCTTAACCAATGGATGGTGCGAGGAGGGAGGGAGGGAAGAAACCGGGAGGAGCCAGTCAATGGGGGGAAAGGAAAGACATCTGTAATACTTCCAACAATAAAAATAAATTTTTAAAAAGTGTTAAAATTGCCATGCATGAGGCAAATGGAGATATTTGCTAAGAGATTAGGTCAGGTAGATAGGTTAGAGGCATTATGTGTAAATCCTCGAAGAAGAAGGTTGAAGGTTGGTGGTTGAGCATTGATCCATGCATCAAGAGGTCACCAGTTCAATTCCTGGTCAGGGCACATGTCCAGGTTGTGGGCCAAGTCCCTAGTGGGGGGCACGCAAGGGGCAACCAATCTATGCTCTCTCTCATCAATATTTCTATCTCTCTCTCCCTCTCCTTTCCTCTTTCTCTAAAATCAATAAAGAAATTTTTTTTAAAAAGTGTTAAAATTGCCTATCAGCTTAATATTTCCCATGTGAAAACAGAAAAAAACCATAATAAATTTTCTTCTTTGATTAAAATAAAGGAAAAAAATTAAATATTAAACCCATTGTAAAGAAAGAATAGGACAAATAAACTGTTACTCTTCGATGCAAGACACCCATTGAGAACAGTGTAAACGGAGATGGTAGTTCAATAATAAAGACTAGAGACCACAATAAAAACACAAACCTTTTTTTTGACAAAGGCTACAGTTAGTGAGGTTTAAGACTCTAGACTTACTGACCCTACGTATTTCCAGAAACTTTACCACTGTTGGTTAAAACTGTTTAAAACTAACATTCTGTAACATCACTCTGCAATCCCAGCAGCAGACTACATTATAATGAAAATTTGATTGATATGTTCTCAGTTTCCAGGGAGTGATACAAGAACATGGTGGACTATGATATCAAAACACAGCTCTGGATACAGAAGCACCAAGCAGAACATATCCTATACTATAATCTCTTTATATTATTATCCCAAGCAAATGATTAATTGCACATGCAAGATTCTTCAAAGGAGTAGAAACATCTAGCCTGGTTACGAATTACCAAAAGTTGGCCTATTTAATTTAAATATTACTATGCTTCACTTTATAGAAAAGAAAAACTTCAGAAGACTTGACCAAAGTGAATTCCTTTTAAATTGTCATCATTCTCTTAATAGCCAGGGATTCCTTTGCTAAGAAAAAATACTTCAATTGAAAATAAGATATTGAGCCTGTATCATTATAAATACCCATCAATCTATGGGTTAATAATGCCAATTTCAATCCACAAGGTCAGAAATTCTCTTATGCTTACTGACTGCCAAAAATATCACATCTGTTGTTCCTGGAATTTTATTCATATAGTTTTTGTTTTCTTCTCCCAAAAGTTTAGGTTGTCTAATAGACCTTAATTATATTGTCAATATAGTTTAAAGCCAAACACGCTGTTATTCTTATTTAGATGGTCCTTAAATTTAAGACTATAACTTAGTAAGTTTCCATTGTTTACTCTGTCAATTTGGTAAAATAAAACAAATCATAATTTTAAGTTCCCGTTTCTATCACTTAGATCTCTAATGAATCTTTCCTATTGACTTGCAATAACCACTGGTGAAAGGCTGTCTAGGAACAACTTCAGGACCGGGTCATGGAGCCATACAGGTTTCCATGTTTACAAATACTATTGAAGATATAACCAAAAAATCACAGAAACTGACAAGGCCCAAACAAACAAATACAAAAATTATTGCATTCCAAATTGAAAATACTTTTTCTTAGTTATTTCATTATAATATCACAAGAATATAATTATTCAATAATTTATAAAATCCATGGATCATAATGCCAATGATATAAGAATACAAAACACACACACACATACACACACACACACACACACAAACCAATCCAAAACAAAGAATTAACAATCATTGCTACCCAGTAGATTAAAAATATATATTTTTTTTATCATGGAAAAGAAACCAAGAGGTGAGAAAAATGTTTGAGGTTCATGACTATGAAGTGTCTCTTTCTTAACACTAGAAGGAAAGAAGAGATAGAGGTCAAGGTCAAGGGTGAAGGAAATCTCTAAAATATTACTTACCTCTTTGTATCCAAAGATGATGCGTCCGTCTATGAGGAGGGTTGCCTGGAATGTGAAGCTTCCCAGGTTGTAATTATCCTGGAGATGTACGTGGTCCCACTGAACAACCAGTGCTGTGCCTGCAAACCCCAATCAGAGCAGAAGAAAGACAATGAGAAAAACATATCAATTCTGGTGGGAACCTTCGCAAAAACACGGATCTAGCCTTCAACTCTAGTAGTTGTGCTGCTTAAATTTTATACAGTTAATTGAAATTCTGTTACTGAAATAGCATTTGGCATACGGTGAGCTTTCAGAGCATACAAGAATCAATGAAACAGATACATTTGTTCTGGAGATGATGATGAAATCATGTTTCATGATACCGCGGATGAAGACATTGATGGTATCTAAATTTAATTTAAAGTTTCTGAGTATTATTCTACAGTTTGGATTTTGGCCATCACTTGTTAAGAAGACTGAAACTTCAGCATGAATGCAGTTTGTTAAGGCACACGGTTTATTCTAATTGTTTTAAAGTATTTATTATATCTCTGTAAATAAAATGTTAACACTTTATTCTTTTGATTTAATGGTACGTAGGGGTAAAAGACCACAATATCTACTGTTAAAACAATAGAAAGAGAGAATGAATAAAAGAAACATTTTCCAATTTAATAAATAGCATTTAGAATATTGTTAAAGAATTGAGTACTCTCTAAATATTTGGTAAAATCTAATCATACTGAGGTTAACATTGAGCCCAGTATGGGGGAATTTTGCCTTAGGAAGTCAATTAATGTTAATGGGTATTTTCTGCTTAAATTTCCATGAGCCACTTTCAAAATGCAGCCCAAGTGATTTGAATGAATTTTGAATACATTGACAAATGCCAAGACAGAATGGAAAACATTCAGGAAAACTAGAATCACTTATAAAAGACCTCAACATATCTCTTCCATACATAGAATTATACTCTTCCATGCTGAAGAAATTCTTTTAATATGAATAGAAATATTCTCCTTCGATGCATAATGCCTGCATTTCTGTCTTTGTTGCATTGCTTCTAGGAGTCTGCAAGGTAGTTTAAAGGACCCCAGGCTAAGATTTCTGAAGCCTACATGAAGTACATTGGGACAGATCATTAGTGCTATATATCATGTTCTAATGAGTCGATCTACCCATGTTTATTATAAAACTATTAACATAAAATATAAATTGAAACACAGTTTAATAGCCTCCAATGAGAATTCATATATTTGTTTTAACTGACATTGTTTTTTCTCTATTTAAAACCAAAACACAAACAAATAAGAAGCTAATACTTTTGCTTAGCTCTAAATATTGGATTTTCTGTGTGGTTAAAAAAATCATGTTGCCAAAAAATGTTATACAGTAAATGAAACTCATAGAACTAAAAGAGCAAAACCTGTTTTCCAGGTCAGTAAATATCTGATTGAAAAAGAAAAAAAAAATCAAGATTGTATGACAGAGAGCTATTGGGTGAGAGAGCATTGGGGTGGTGGGAGAGTTGGGCCCAGAGAGGGCATGGAAGCTCCACACCCCTTCCCGCACACTTTACCCTGTGTGTTTCTTCACTCTGTTTCCGAGTTCATCCCTGTACCAGATGACCCATTCGGAACAGAATCCTATCTTTACTGTGCTTTTGAGTATAACTTAATACTGAGAGTTTTTGACCAAGATGGCAACATGGGAGGCTCCTGAAGTCCCTTCCTCCATGGACACACACGATGTATAGCTACACACAAAGCAATGTCCTTGGGGAGAATCTAGATTAGTGACTGCTATGCATTGGGTGACTGAGCACATACCTACATTGAAACTGTGCATATCAAGGTATTGACTATGATCCTCTTTGGGCCCAAGAGCCAGTGGGCACCTCCCCTGCCATATCCCTTTTGCTAACTCCAAGAATAAAACAAGGTCATTAGCATCTCCCTGGAACGAGCTTACATGCAAGTCTGGCACCCAGTTTTTGTGGTACCACCTGAGGGACAGGTTCCCTAGATTACCCAGTTGTGACAGACAAGAGGATTTGCATTCATGAGTTCCACAGGCCTGTAGCAGACAAAGAAGTAACTGTTAACAGGCTTACCCTTGAGTGCTTGCCATGGCTATCCTCCCAGGATCCAGCAGAGAGAGAGCAGGCAAAAATGCCCATCTCCCAATCTTTTCTTTGCAGGGGTATAACTGCCCATTACAAGCTGCTGCATGAGGGCCCAGCATCTAATTGGCATTCATCTAGGTACTGAATGTTATCCTGCCCAGAATCCAAAAGAGCTGGTGGGCACTCCCTTCCCCTTCTCTCTCCAACAATAAAACCACGTTTCCAGTATTTATCTGAAAGGAGCTGTGTACACATAGTGCCCCAACTTTTATGGTTGCCATCAAGATTTGGGCACCTAAACCACCTTGCTCTGATAGCCAACAGGGCTTGCAAATACAATCAGAGATTATAACAAACAAAGAAGTTTCAAAATGGGTGCAGAAGCACTCCCATGATTAAATGCCCAGACTCAGTGCAGACAGAGCAGGGAAAAACATCTATTTCCCAATTTCTCCCTAGAAGGTGTTTGACTGCATACTTTTCCAGCTGCTGCCTGAGGGTCCAGTGACAAATGAGCCTGCATCTAGGTGCTGCCTATGATCTTTGCGTTTATCACACTAATAGGTTTTAGAACACTCTCAGCCACTGAGAGCAACATGATGTCTTGGACAATCACAAGGGTGCTTCAGCCTGGCTGATTGATGAGTTTCATCTCCTACACAAGTCCCCTCTGACAAGACTGGAAGGGTAGCTATTTTATCTAATGTGTAGAAACCAACACACTCAAGAAAAATGAAGAAACAAGGGAATATGTTTAAAATAAAAGAACAAGATTTCTAGAGACAGATCTTAATAAAAGGGAGGTAAATGATTTGTCTAAATGAGTCCAAAATAAGTCATAAAGATGCTCACTGAGGTCAGAAGAGCAATGGAGAATTTCAGCAAAGAGAGAAAAATATTAAAAACTACTAAATAGAAATATATCTGAAGCATACAATAACTGACCTGAAAATGTTAATAGAGGGGTTCAATAGCAGGCTAGATTAAGTAGAAGATGGAATCAATGCTCTTGAAGACAGGGCAGTGGAATTCATCCAATCAGAGGAGCAAAAAGAAAAAAGAATGAAAAGATTGATGATAGGTTAAGGGACATATAGGACACCATCAAGTAATCAATATTTACATTATAGAGATCTCAGAAAGATAAAGGAGAAAGAAAGGGGCAGAATTTTTTATTATTGTTGTTAATCCTCATCCAAGGATATTTTTCCAGTGACTCTTTTAGATAGAGTGGAAGGGAGGGAGGGAGGAAGAGAAAAACATTGATGTGAGAGAGACACGTGGATTGGTTGCCTCTCACACCACCTGGTCAGGACTGGGAATCAAACCTGCAACCCAAGTATGTGCCCTTGACCAGAACTGAATCCATGATCCTTTGGTCCATGAGCTGATGCTCTAACCCCTGAGCCAAAATGGCCAGCGTGGGGCATAAATCTTACTTAAAGAAATAATGGCTGAAAATTTCCCTAACCTGGGGACAAAAACAGACATCCAGATCCCAGAAAACCCCAAATACCAAACAAGATGAATCAAAAGAGACTCACATGGAGACATTATAATGAAATTATCAGGTTTTAAGGATGAAGAAAAAATTTAAAAGCAGCAAGGAAAAGCAATCTGTTACTTGCAAGGGAATCCACATAAGACTTCCAATGGATTTTTCAGCAGAAATCTTTCAGGCTGGTGAGAGAGGGATGAGATACTCAAAGGGCCAACTAAGAACACTCTCTCAGGCAAAGCTGTCCTTCAGAATTGAAGGAGAGATAAAGAATGTTTTAGACAAACAAAAGCTGTAGAAGTTCATCCCCACTAGACCAGCGTCATAGGAAATTTTAAAGGGAATTCTTCAAGTTGAAATAAAATCATGCTAATTAGTAAAAGAAATTATATAAAACTGTAACACTCAGTGGTAAAGGTAAAAGTATAGTTAAATTCAGAATACTCCAATATTGTGATGATGGTGGGTAAATCACATATAACTCTAGTATAAAGGTTAAAAAAGTATTAAAAATAACTATAACTAAAATAATTTGTTAATGGATACACCATATAAAATGTGTAAATTGTCATAGCAAAGACATAAGATGTAGTGGGGATATAAAAATGTAGAGTATTTAAATATCTCAAGCTTCTGATCATTAGTAAGAATTGTGCTTCATAATTTATTTGAATTATTTTTCTAGCAAAGGGTTTATTTCTGTAACTTTTCTAGTTTTTTTGCATTAATAATCTCTGACCTACTTAGATTTGTGTAGTTATTTAGGCTACCTATGCCATTTAGAAGCATCATCTCAGTTTTTAAATCTAGTGATTTAAAACTTAACAAAAATACTATCTTAGAAATTTTCTAAACTGCTGTCTCCTCTAGAAGAGTTTGGCTTTCCTAAAATATTGACTTTTCCATCCTTAAGCATTCTTTCAGTGACCCTAACCAATCAAAGTTGGAAACATTTCAATATGTTGCTATTGTATAAAAAAGTACTTTGTGAAGAACCTCTAATATTCAAAACTGGTTCATTCATTTACTGAAGCAGAAGCAATTACTTAGCTTTCATTGTCATATTGTAGGAATTCAATATTTCCATTGGTCATTACACAGAAGATACTTCAATAAAGTAAAATACATTAATTCTTGGGTATTACTACTTTTACAATTCTCAGAATTAAAAACTCATCTTACATATTTAATTTTTTTCATTTATTCAGTCATTGAATAATAATGGAAGACATACTGCTTATGAGTTCCTGTGCTAGGTAGTTAAGATAAAATGATTTCTTATAGTCACAGTCCTTGTTTCAAAGAATTTAGTGTTCAGTTGGAATAGCATACATTAATTTTTAAAAATCATTTAAATAAAAGTAAAATTCAAATATTAAGAGCTGCCTAGGTACATGGTGTATGAGTAACTGGACAGAGTGACCTATTTAACATCCTTTATGACTTTGATGCTAAGAATATAAAAACTTTGGTCATCAGAATCCTGTTCCCATGAGTGAACATCCTCAAATGCCTCTAGTATGTGACAGAGCTTGGAAAATAATCAACTTTCATCAATCATTTCCTGCTTACTAAGGTGATTCTGTCTGGTAGGTCTTGCGATATACTTCAGATAAGTTTCTGGTTGTAGTTCTGCCTCAAGTTTACCTATAATCTACTTGTACATTCTTGAGCTTTAGTACCTCATTTAATTTTTCAAAGAGGAAGGATAAAGTATATAACAATTCTTAAAATAATAGGGGGAAATTATTATTACCAACAACATTCAGAATTATTTAATATTGGAACATACTTGTTGTTCTTCGAATTGCTTGAAATGTAGTTCTCAAATTGTATTTCTAACCATGTTTAGTTTCCTTCTTCCTTTGCTAATTTGACCTATAAAAGGCTTCATCACACTGGTCAGAGGATGGCTTTTAGCAAAATGATCATATTCCCCCAAACAATGGCATCATTAAATCTATACTACCCACTGGGGAATTTCTTCCTTGATCATTAAGACAAATATAGAAATAGCTTTGTTCATGTCAAATGCTCCCATTATTTTAAAAGATAGATTTCTTAATTAGACAAATAAGTACTATATTTATATTATAGAATGTACAGAGATTTCTGTCTTTTAAAAAATTAATTAACAAATTAACTAATTTGAATTTATTTTTAATTATAGTTGACATACTATGTTATGGTAGTTTCAGGTATACAACAAAGGGAGTCAACATTTACATACCTTACAAAGTAATCACACAATAAGTCTAGTGACCATCCCTTGTCATACATAATTATTATAGTATTACTGACTCTCTTCCCTATGCTGTGATTTACATGCCTGTGCCTTATAGTATAACTGGAAATTTGTACTTCTACCTTTTATTAATTTTCCAAGAAAACTCTTCTTTTCCTATTTTCTCTAGTAAAGTTAGAGCTTTCAATAAGATGTAGATATGAAAATTAATTTCTGTCTTCAGGACCTTACATTTTTACTTAGATTTGAATAGCATTTAGTGACATAGTCTAGGTTTTTTTTGTTGTTTCGTTTTTTGTTTTTTTTTACTATTTTTTATGTTCCCCAAAGAAAACGGTAGGGATAAACTGTTGTCAGTATACATTATAAACCTTAATAGGCTCTATCTCAAATCAAACAAATTAGATTTTTTTTTTTTTACAAAAAATATGCTTTTATTGATTTCAGAGAAAGAGGAACAGAGAGGGAGAGAGAGAGAAACATTGATGTGAGGAAGAAACATCCACCTGCTGCCTCTTGCATGCTCCATATCAGCTAGACATGTGCCCTGACTGGGAATTGAATCACTGACCTTTTGGTGCATGGGACAACCAACTGAGTCACACTGACCAGGGCAGGAGAACTAGATATTCTTACATGTATTATATATTCACTATTCTATATTTTTTATTTTATTTAATTTTATATTTTTTTGGTACGTGCCCCTACTGGGAACCGAACCCAGGACTCTCTGGGCCGCAGGCCGACACTCGAACTGCTGAGCCAAACTGGCCCAAACTATTCTATATTTTTTAAAGGTGTGTTCATTTTATGGTATACATAGTTCACAGTTTTGAGAATTTAATATCGACGTATCATGCCACTTGCCTCTACTTGATCAGAACAAATTATCCTTATTTAGTTTCTCTAATAGCAAGGGCTTACATCAAATGTGTTTGCTTGACTTGAGGTGTTGTTTAGTACAACTTACTTATTATAGTGCCTAGGAGGTGTTAACATTTGTTGAACAAACAAAAGAATGAATGAGTACGTGAGTGGCATTTGACTATATATTCACTCCACAAAAGAACGGTTATAGTACAACATCTGTCATCTTAGGGCATTTGTGCCAAGCAGTTTACAAATCCAGTCTACCAAAAACAAAACACCCCAGGTTACAAAAACGTTACTATAAATCTGATGATCACGGTTTAAAAGTATACATTCAGTGAAAAAAAAAAAAAATAGGCTAACCAATACATACCATTATCAAAATATCTGACTGTTGAATTTCTGGAGACGCTGGGATCGAAATTTGCCATTAAAGGCGCTATGTACTGTGTGGCTGTCAGCATTCGATGTACAACTTCTCCAGTGTATATGAAACCTAGAATTAGAAAAGTAGGAAATATGTTAAGAAAAAGCCCAGATACAATTTTAAGGAAAATACCTCCAACTCAGTTGCAGTCTAATTTTGAAAATAGAATATTATAGCAGCTAAAAAAAAAAAAAGGAACAAAATGAATGTCCTAATGTCTGCTCAACAATAGCTGGGTCTGGATTAAGTCACCAATTTGCATAGGATTTGGTAGCACCCTGCAGACCATCAAATCAGAAATCTGTATTATGAACAACTGTAACTGAGGGTGAAGTGACTATTATCTGGAAGAGATGATTAGGCTGAACAGACTGCTCTAGTCCTATCAGTAGTTCTAGCATCCAACCTGCTGTTAGTGAGCCCTTGCTATTTTAGCACTAGCCAAACATGCAAGTCATCTTACTAATGAATGTATTTTCATTGTTTCATTTCATTTTCTTAAACTACAATCTCAGTTTAGGGTATTTTAGAAACTACACATGCATGTCTTCATATATGTGTGTGTGTTCATTTTTTTTTTCCTTTATTGATTTTAGAGAGGAAGGGAGAAGAAGAGAGAGGTAGAAACATCGATGAGAGAGAACATGGACTAGCTGCCTCCTGCATAACCCCCACTGGGGATCGAGCCCCCAACCTGGGCATGTGCCCTGACGGGGAGTCGAACTGGTAACCTCTTGGTGCACGGATCGATGTTCAACCACTAAGCCACACTGGCTGGGTTGTATACATTTTATATCTTTTTCCATTACTACAATGGAGAAAATGTTTCAGGCCTTTTTTTCAAAGTTGAAAGGAGGCTCAGCACCCATGGAAAAACTTGCACATTTTTCACATTACTCAAGTCTTTATAATGTTAGCACCTCATCAAAAAGATAAAGATTGTATGTTTGCAGATGAGATAGTAAAAACATTGATAATGCACAAATGCCTCTCAGCTTATCAGTGCTAGCCTCTCCTAGCAGTTGGGCAACGAGAGGGAATTTACTATGGAGAACATCCTCTTGAATTAAATTTCAATCGCTCCCATGTTACAACCTTACCCACTTGCAATTATTCACACTGGGTTTATTTGCTTTGTGGATTATCCATGACAAATTGTTAATCCTGTATTGGCTTCTTGTCTCCAAGTCTTTAGGTCTAAAAGCAGAATAGCTCAGGGAATGATAACTCATCTTAATATTAATCTAAGAAATGCACAATTAAGAACATGTACGCAAATGGACACATATGCATAGGAACACACACACACTATGACAAAATAAAATCCAAAACATTTTTTTGTGAAAAAGCAGTTGTAATGTTTAGGCAATCATAAGTTAACTAGATATCTACAGCTGCTATAGATCATTTTTCTATTTTCACAATAATTGATAAAACAAGCAAGATTTTTAAAAAAAACAACACAAAATTGGGGAGGATTTAAACTCCTAGATGTGTTAAAACTTTGTCATCTCACTTCATGATCCAAATAAAGCTTTCCTTGGCATATTGTGGTCTTTATTGTTTCGATTTTCAACTGGAATTTCTAGGTGAGTTTCTGGAGAACTAAATCTGCAGTTACTTACTTTAAAATTAATTTGTCTTTTTAGCAGTGTCTTCTTTCCTTTCCTTTCTTTATAGTTTTCATCAAAGGCATATTTGAATTCTAGCTATTTGCCTTAAAAATTTATTTAAACTAGGAAAACCTTTAGCATGTATTTTAATAGTTGATTACATCTTGTTTCTCATTTGACGAGCAATAGCTTTCAAAATAAATATCCTATGCCTCGAGCAGAATTTTGTACATTTGCAATGTTACATAGCTCAAATGTACTAAAAAATATTATATAAAGTGATGCAGTCATTGCTTTTATTTTATTTCCCTGTAGATTTTCAAAGACACTCTTGAAGTTCAAAGCCCAATATCACATCCTTAAAACAGATGAAGAGTAACTATTTTGTTCAGGGTCTATGATTTATTTTGTTTCCGATCCTCACCAACATGCCTTTATAATTTTACCATTAAAATGGATAGAAAAATTCTAAGTCTGATAGTTTAAGGAAAAAATTAAATTATACTCTGTATATAAATATTCTTTCAGGCATAGTAGCTCTGGATAGTTATTTCTCTACTCTGTGTTCTCTGGGTATTCATAGGAGAAACTTTGCTGAATTTAAAGAATAAAGAAGGCAGTAATTCAAGTCAGTAAGGTAGTTTTAAATCAATACAAAATTCATTCTCCAAAACAACACCGAGAAAAGCACCAGCAAATCCTAGACAAGGCTGCAAACTGCACAACCACAGATGATTTCAGACACTGATTCTGCTGTTAGTGTTTACAGTCAGATGGTCTATATTTGCCACTGAATGTTTCTACACAGATTTGGCAAAAAGTTATTCTCCATCCTCTGTACCCCCGTTTTAAGATCATGGGGATCACTAACTGCTGCTTCCTTTTACCAGGAAAAAGTTTTCCAGAATGACAATTCTCCCAAATTTCAAAGGTGAAGTCTCAAATTGTTCCCAAAGAACAAAGTGAAAAATAAAAGAATGTGTTACTATGTAAAAGCAATCATTACAATCCTTGATTCTTCTATTACTGGAAAAGTAAAATAAATTACAGTCACTGTGACTATGATTACCGCAGGCAGGGCAACTACTATTAACAAGAACAACTGCTGTAGCTGCTGCCACCCCTATTTGTCGACGCCCCCATGGCTCCTGTCACCGCCAAGAAGACTGTGAAAAACAATCCCAGGAGGCAAATACCCCACTACACCACAAAACAAATTGAACTGTGCTAATTCAGAGAATACTTATTTGTGTGCCTCAGCCATGTTGAAATCTACTTCCTTGGACTCTACAGTACTTAACTCTCTTTTCACCCTCAGATTTTAAAATTTTGGGGGGGGAGAGAGGGAGAGAGAGAGAGAAACATTGATCGGCTGCCTCCTGCACGCCCCCTACTGGGGATGGAGCATGTGCCCTGACTGGGACTCCACCTGGGACCTCTCAGTCCACGTACATGCCCAGGTTTTTGAAATGTCATTGCAGCCGCGGTTAATAACGAACGGAGGGAAGCCTCACAGGCGTTGAGCAGGGAAGTGTGACCAGGTATGAATAAGAACTGGTTAAGCAAGTGAAGGAGACCTTTAATGCAAGAATCTTTTCTGAAGCTTCAAAGGCCCCCACAGTGACCCATTTAGACACTTAACCTCTTGTCTTCCCCTCAAATTCTATTTTTCAATTATATTTTACATTCAATATTATTCTGTACTAGTGTCAGGTGTACAGCATTGTGGTTAGACAATCGTCTACTTTACAAAGTGTTCCCCCACCCCGATATTTCCAGTCCCCACCTGGCACCATACATACCAGGGAGTCTCTTCAAAAAGTTAAAAATGGAACTTCCTTATGACCCAGTGAGTCCGCTTCTGGGTATATATCCGAAGAAACCCAAAGCACTAATTTGAAAGAATATATGCATCCCTATGTTCACTGCAGTGTTATTTACATTTACCTCTTTTCTTTATCTGTCTTGGGCATGTCTAGTCATACAGAAAAAAGTTTCATTCTTTTTCGTCTTTCACATTTTGCGGTAATTTAGGCTATATATATATTTCAGACTTGGTTGTAATCATTTGAAGCGTTATCATTCAGCATCTTCTTTGCTCACTGTATGCTCCCAGTTTAAATAGTACTCATTTATCTAGACATAGTTTTTGCAGAAAAGTGGTTATTATCCAGATAATATGGTACCCAGAAAGATACCTTTATTTGAAAGATTCAAATAAGAGACGCAAATGCATTTTGCTTTATTGAATTTCAAACGATGGCTAACACACTGCACTTCTCCTTTGCCTTTGCTGGTAAACCTAGGGTCACGTTTTGGGTCCAGCTGTAATTGATGGCTTTGCTCTTGCAAAGGCTCTCCTTGGGCTGCTTCCTGTAGAAGGCCTTTAGTCACTCGAGTAATTGAGTTTAAATCTGTAAACCTTGTCAAGTAATTTGAGGATTCTATCATCGTAAGTCCTGAAATAAACCTTCCTCAGTCATTATGTATTTATTAATACAATTTTGTATTTATTAACTACAAATACTATTGCGATAATAGTGAAGTTAACAAATATCTTCTCTGTGTTGGCCTTTACCAATTATATTATTTTCATGTCTTTTCTTCACTGTATCCTGATAATAACTTTGAAAACAATATTATTATTGTTATTTTCCTTTATTAAATGAGGCATATAATAAAGCTGCATACTTTGCTGAAAGCCAAATGGCTAGAATTGGTCTTTTAATTTCAAATTTTATGACCTCTTTACAATATATTTTAGAATTCATTAAGTTTCCAGAACTGCATGCTCTCCCTCACTGGGTTTCATATTTAAACAAGGAGTTTGAGGAAGAAAAGACTTGTTCTCTCTGTGGAAATTTCAACACCTATACCTTACAGCAAAGTTATAGTCACCTCAAATCCTGCTGCTGTTATTGTACCACTTAATCCTCCATCCTTTTAATTGGCAATTTGTGTGAACAAGTTAAAATTAGATTCCTTTATTGCAATCTACCAAATGACTCTTATTTAATGGTACAAGCAAACTATTTCCTAGCCACGTGACTCCATTATTGACCTCTCTGTGCCTCAGTTCCCTAATCTGTTAAATGGAGTAGTAATGGTCTCAGTATCATTGAGTTGTTGTGCTGGTTGAATGAGTTGATAGATGAAAAGCACTTGAAAAGAGTGCTTAACATAAAAATTTGCTGAAAATAACCAATCCATTTAATTGTCTCTAATGTTTACCCCTTGAAGCCCTCTCTGTCTAATGTATATTAGTTGATTTGACTTGCAGTAAGATGTTGATATGAGTTCAAAATCCTGCTTCAGACCCAAATGGCATGATACGTATTTCTTCGCATTGTTCCAGTTTGGGTTACGGCACACCCCTAAAGTCTTAATGTCCAAGTTCTTTGCTTGATATACCTTTCCTTACATTCTGATGGAATAAGCACCTTGTAAACATATCAA